TTGGAACTCAAACGATCGAGAAAAATCCGAAACAAAGCTGAAACATTGTAAAAACAGCATCTAAAACCTTCTTTTTACGCATGTAAACAAGCGTAATCAATAAGGTCGGCTCCGACTAGGGCCGCTATCCGACCTTCGATACTCAGCCTTGTCCTTAGACTTGGACTCAGCCTTCCTCTTCTCTTGGCTGGGCTTTTTTTGGTCGATTTGCTTCTCAGATCGGCCAGTTTTGGTCCGAAAAAGTTCCTGCCCGTCAATGACTTTTTTCGCTTTTTGCAGGACTTCGGCAAAAGTGGCTGGGGCTTCTTCTCCGAGCTTCACAGTTAAGGTCTCATCGACTAGGTCGGTGAGGAAGTAGCACAAGGCCGAGTCATCAGAGTAGTGCGCGACCTTCAGCTGCTCCTCCTGGAACCATGTGACATATTCTCTCAGCGTCTCACGTTCCTTCTGCCTGATGGTGGCGAGGTGAGTCGCTGTTTTTCTCTCATAGTGTCGAGAAGAGAATTGACTGTTAAACTCTTTCCTTAGCTGGGAGTAGGTTGAGATTGACCTGGCCGGCAGTCTTCGATACCATAGGCGCGCGCTGCTGGTGAGCGCGATCTGGAAGGCGCGGTACTTGATTGCATCTGTTGCTGCCTGAAAACCCATGAGGCCTTCAAAGACCTCAACATAGTCTTTTGGGTCCTTAGACCCATCATAAGGTTTCATAGTGGGAGTCTTGAACTTTGAGGGGATGAGAGCCTCCAAGATATCTGAGGTGAATGGTGACTCTCCCAAGTCGCCATCATCAAATGTGCTCCCTTTGACCTCGCACCTTGCCTTTAAGGTTTCAACCTGAGCGTCGAATTTGCTTTTAAGTTGGTCGAACTCTTCCCTTGTAATCACTCCCTCAGGAACTACCGGGTTGTAAGAAGATTCGGCCTGCTGGTTGGAGTTCTTGTGCGAGCAAGATGGAGATCGTCCTTTTCGGAGGGACGAGCTTCTCTTTCTGCTGAGATGATCGCGGAGATCGCCTCTCTAAGGAGTGTACTCTTCATCTTCATCTTCTCTAGGGTGCTCTTCATCGATTGGGTTGAGGTGAAGACCTTCTTGTTCACGCACCTCGTCGCGCGCCGCTCGGTCTTCAGATCGAGACCCGGCACCCACAGCTTGCACCATTTCGTTGTACATCTCTTCCATGGTGAGCATCTGGGTGCGCATTGCCTCCATTTCTTTTTGGAGTGCATCAAAGTTCTCCCTACTAGGAGCCGGGGCTGCTCCTAGAGTGGTTCTTCTCGAGGCACCACCTCGGCCGCGATTGGCCTTAAATGGTTTTGGATGTGCCGGTGATAAATCGGGTGTGGTGATGCGTGCCGACCTACAAAACGGCTCGGTCCCGAGGCCTTCATGAATCTGGCCCTCTACCACTTCTGCCCCGACCTCTCTCTGGTGACCATCGTTGGCAACTAGAGCTCTTCGGTCTCCTGTGTTGGTTGAGTCTACTGGTTGAACCATCTTTGTTCATGCTTTTTAGATAGGGATGACTTAGATTGTCCTTCCCCACAGATGGCGCCAAATGTTTATGCAAAGAATTGCATAATGCTGTTTTACGAACAAAGCTCGAACCCTGCTTCCGGCTTGACCTGAACTCAAGTGAACCTACACAAGAGGGCAAACTCCCCGTCGCTCAAGTCAGTTCTAGTCGGACTCAATATTAAGTTCGAAGTGAGATTCCATACCTGTCTGTGAAATGAGGTCCTCTATTTATAGGTGGCGGGTCCGACAGTGCTCACGACCGGCGGTTACCTTTGTCTTTTTTTATGTCGAACCTGTCGGGTTTGAGCACCTCAAACCCGTCCAGGTCGAACCGGGGCTTTTTACACAGCCTTGTTGATGGGCAAACCCAGTCTCCTCGGCAGGTTCGAGGTGGACCTGGGGTACTTCCTTTATTCCTTGAACACCAACGAGCGTCCTCCACGTGTCCAGGGTATTTTTATCCCCAGACAAGATATATGCCAATTACTGCTTAGATATGCTCGCTTTGGCGGTGAAACTTATGTTCTTGCATGCAAATGTGACTCCACGTCTAAGAAAGTAACGTTGGGATAATGAATTGCAAAATTATAGCTCATACTCCTATAATTTAATAAAGTCGCCCTTCGACCTTGTAAAATATTTTAATTAGGTGGGAAATTTTTTTTGAAACCTTCAAATTTAAGCTTAATAGTATAAGAGAGAGTTATCCAAACTCTTAGGCCCATAACTCATAAATGATTCATATTGGGCATGGGCAAAAGCATGTGACCATGACCTATTAGTCTATGTATAGTTTATTGAGTAATATATGCAAAGTTTATAGGGTGAAGTATACAGCTATTCCATTTAGAGATTATTATAATCGCAAAAACCGGTCAACTTTTGAGAATTTTCATACGAAGATTATTTTTGCCCATTGGAATATATATTTAATAAAAAATTAAATGAAAATTCGAAAATGGGAAAATCTAAATTTTGGAGGGTTTCCATGTCAAACTCTTTCTGAAATCTCTTAATTTTGGGTATATATTTCTTTTAATTAAATCAAGTTTTTTTATTTATTTAATTTCTTTATTTATAACTGTGAACGATGAATGAAGCACAAATCTTATGCAGTATATGTTTGGTAGCTTTAAGATATATATTATATAACGTAATAACACACCACCAGAGCTTTAATTAAATGGGGCTCCAATACTATCAAGCATTTATTTTCTCAGATTAAAAAACAAAATGTCATTCTCGCTAAAGCATACAAACAAGCTTCTTCATCTTGACTTCGCTTTCATCCATATGCTTGAGAATTACTTGGCGGGCCTTCTTGAACAAGAAGAGATCTATTGG